TGGATATCCAGCCAGCCACTTAGCTGTTAAAAAAAAATTAATGGAGATATCCCATCTCCTAGAACTGGAAGGGACCTTGAAAGGTCATTGAGTCCAGCCCCCTGCCTTCACTAGCAGGACCAAGTACTGATTTTGCCCCAGATCCCTAAGTGGCCCCCTCAAGGATTGAACTCACAACCCTGGGTTTAGCAGGCGAATGCTCAAACCACCGAGTTATCCTTCCCCCATCTTGGTAGCTGTTCTTTACTGGCTTTACCTGTAAAGGGTTAAAAAGTCCCCCAGATAAAGAAGAAAAGTGGGCACCTGACCAAAAGAGCCAATGGGAAGGAAGAACTTTTTAAAATTGGGAAAGAAACTTTGCCTTTGTCAGTTGCTCTTTGCCTACAGGGCTGTACCACACCCAGTTTGGGATTTTCACCCTTTGAACTTGTTTATGGCCATGAAGTTAAGGGGCCATTACAGCTGGTGAAGCAGCAATGGGAGGGGGTTACATCTTCTCCAGGAACTAACATTTTGGACTTTGTAACCAACCTGCAAAACACCCTCAAAGGGTCTCTAGCCCTTGCTCGAGAAAACCTACAGGATGCTCAACAGGAGCAAAAGGCCTGGTATGATAAACATGCCAGAGAGCGTTCCTTCAAAGTAAGTGACCAAGTCATGGTCCTGTAAGTGCTCCAGGCCAATAAGACGGAAGCATCGTGGGAGGGGCCATTTTTGGTCCGAGAGTGCCTGGGAGCTGTTAATTACCTCATAGCGTTCCCAGACCCTACCCTAAAACCTAAAGTATACCATGTTAATTCTCTAAAGCCTTTTTATTCCCGAGAAATCAAGGTTCTCCAGTTTACAGCCCAGGAGAGAGATGACGCTGAGTGGCCTGAAGGAGTCTACTACGACAGAAAAAGCAATGGTGGCGTGGAAGAGGTGAGGCTTTCCATGACCCTTGGGCATAAGCAGCAACAGCAAATCCAGGAGCTGTGCACTAGCTTCGTGCCAATGTTTTCAACCACCCCAGGACGGACAGAACGGGCGTACCACTCCATTAACACAGGTGATTCTCGCCCAAGTAGAGCCCAACCCTACCGGATGGCTCCTCAAGCCAAAACCACATTAGAAAGGGAGATCAAGGACATGTTACAGATGGGTGTAATCTGCCCCTCAGAGTGCCTGGGCCTCTCCAGTGGTTCTGGTTCCCAAACCAGATGGGGAAATCCCCTTTTGTTTGATGTTGCTCTCTGGGCTGAAGAGAAGGGGCAGCAGGAATGCTCTGTAAAGTTTGAACCAGATATGAAAATCATCAGATCATATCTAGAACTACTTTTAACAACCCAAAGGTGTAAGTAGATCAGAATGTTTAGCTAGATGCGATCCGGTTTATTTCTGTTTATTTTCGTTATTTTGGCTTGTGGAGCTCCTCTGTGCTAACCCCAGATGCTTTTGTTTGCTTGTAACCTTTAAACTGAACCCCAAGAAAGCTATTTTGGGTGCATGATTTCTGGAATTGCTCTTTTAAAATCTAGAAAAAGCCTAAGTTCCAGATGTATAGTCTTTCTTTTTGTTTTTAATAAAATTTACCTTTTTTAAGAACAGGATTGGATTTTTGGTGTCCTAAGAGGTTTGTGCATGTTGTTTAATTAGCTGGTAGCCATAGCTAATTTCCTTTGTTTTCTTTCTCAGCTCTTCCCCTGAGCGGAGGTGAAAGGGCTTGAGGGTACCCCACAGGGAGGCATTCCCAAGTCCTCCTTCCTGGGTTCAAAGGGGTTTCTTTTTTTGCATTTGGGTGGTGGCAGCGTTTACCATGCCAAGGTGAGAGAAAAGCTGTAACCTTGGGAGTTTAATACAAGCCTGGGAGTGGCAAATATTACTTTTTAAAATCCTTGCGGGCCCCCACTTACTGCACTCAGAGTGACAGAGTTGGGAATCAGCCTTGACAACATGGATCAGGAAAACTGCTAGAAACCTGCTTGTAACAGCCGCCTCTAGCATGGCTGTGCTCCAAACACACAGGGACTGTACCTGCTGCTTGACAAAGCTGCTCTATGGCTCCAATTTAACAAGTCACTTAAACACAAACTTAAAGCACATACTTAATTCTGATTGACTTCAGTGGGATTTATACGTAAGCTTAAGTGCTTTGATGAATGGGGGCCTATACAGTGAAAAAACTGTTCACAAAGGTGAAGCTACTACAGCCTTTGTGGGAATTCTTTGGGAAAAGGTTGCACGTGTGTTCAGAATTTGCTAGCATGATGACTAAACACCCACGCTCTGAGAAGTGGAGCCCTTTGCACTGCAGACTGACTAACTGTATGGTGGGAACTTCATTTATCATAGAATATCAGGGTTGGAAGGGTCCTCAGGAGGTCATCTAGTCCAACCCCCTGCTCAGAGCAGGACCAATCCCCAGACAGATTTTTGCTCCAGATCCCTAAATGGCCCCCTCAAGGATTGAACTCACAACCTTGAGTTTAGCAGGCCTATGCTCAAACCACTGAGAGTAACAACTTTCTTATTCCCACAATGCTAGACTGTCACATCCAACCTAGGAAGGGCTTGCTTGGATCTTCTGACAATTTCCCTTCTTGGCTTCTATCCCTTCCATTCTTGGTGAGCACCAGACAAATACTCAGTCCTAAATGTGGAGGAAGTATTCTCACCCAAGACAGAACTACAGAAGTGAAACTTTTCATGAGGGAGCAGGGGGGAAATGAGATTCTTCACTCTTTCAGTTCCCCAATATTGGGCACACAAATTTAAGACAGAATCACAGCAGGTTTCTTAGCTCAGGAAAATATTGTGAATAAATTACAAACCTACAGACAGAGAAAATAACTAAGAGTATTAATACAGGCGTCTCTCCAGGGAACGGCAGTGCAATCTCAATCATGGGCATAGATTTTACATGGAACCCAAGGGCAAAAAGTTAGTCAGTGGCAGAGAAATTCAAGAATCCTAAATCTAAGAACCTTTAGGAGTTAAGCAGGGGGCGGGAAATGAGACAGAGGAAGTGCAATACTCAAATAGCCTGGATTGTGAACCTCAAAACACAGTCATAGCTTTAGTGTATCAAATTATTTTTTCACTATTAAGTTACTTACCGATGGCGATGCCGGCGATGATGGCGATGCCGGCGATGCTAAGGCCGATGCCGGCAATGC